TTTTCCGCAGGCGTCGTCTCCACGGTGGTGCCGGACTCGGCGCACAAGCTCTTCATCGGCGGCCTCCCCAACTACCTGAACGACGACCAGGTGGGAACGCCGGGAATGCCGGGAACACCGCCGGGGGGGGCGGGCCTTCCCGCAGCGCCGTTCCCGGCATTCCCGGACGGCATTCCCGGCAGGTCAAGGAGCTGCTGACGTCCTTCGGGCCGCTCAAGGCCTTCAACCTGGTCAAGGACAGCGCCACGGGGCTCTCCAAGGGCTACGCCTTCTGCGAGTACGTGGACATCAACGTCACCGACCAGGTGATTCCCGCCGTTCCCGGAATTCCCGCCGTTCCCGGGACTCCCAACGCCCCGTGGCGGACTTGGGGATGGATTTTCAGCACGAAAATGGCCAAGAAAGGGATGGGAAAGGGGATGGGAAACACGTCTTGCTCAGCTTCATTCATCCGCTAGGGTGCTTCCTGGAATTCCCGGTGTTCCCGGAATTCCTGATGCCCCTTTGGGGRGCTTTGGGATGGGTTTGGAGGGGGAAAATGGCAAAAAAAGGATGGGAAACAGGATGGGAAACGCACACGTGTCCTGCCCGGTTCGATTCATTCCCTAGGGACATGCACGGAATTCCCAGTGTTTTCGGCATTCCCAGCACTTTTGGAGAGGGGGAGCCTCGGGGTGGGATTTGAGTGTGAAAATGGGGGAGAGAAGGGGGGGAAATGGGATGAGAAACATGTGAACCCCTCTCAGTTCCATTTGTTCACTGGGTTCCTTTCCGGAATTTCTGGCATTCCCAGAATTCCTGGAATTCCCAAAGCACTTTGCGGGGGTGGGGATGGGTTTGGAGTGTGAAAATGGGGGGAAATGGTAGGAAGTGGGACGGAAAATATATGTGCGTCCTGCTCGGTCCCATTTATCCACTAGGGTCCTTCCCAGAATTCCGGATGTTAGCAGAATTCCAGGCACTTTTTGGGATGTCACCTTGCTTTTGAGCACGAAAAGGGCAAAAACAGGGTGGGAAACCCCCACGCACCCCCCTGGGCTCCATTTATCCACCAAGGATATTCCCAGAATCCCCAACAGTCCCAGAATTCCTGACATTCCCAGAATCCCCGACATTCCCGGAATCCGCAACATTCCCCGTTTCCCCCTCCCGCGCGGCACTCGGACCCCCAAAACAGCCAAAAAGGAAGGAAAAATGCCCAGGAAACACCCCCCTCTCCCCACAACCTGTGCAGAATTCCCAGAATTCCCAGCTCTTCCGTGCCGCATTCCGGGTGGAAAACACTGCGGGGGGGGGGGGGGCTGCCGTTTTCCCCCGTTTTCTCCCCCATTTCTCAACGGATTTTCCCCGTTTTTTTTTCCCCGCGTTCCCCGCTTTCCGCCCCATCT